TAATGTAAGTCGACGATGGAGCCGCCGATTAGTTCGAGAGACTTTGTTGCTTCACTAGTTGCTTCACTAGTTATTTATTAAGAAAACGACGTGTTGCAAAGAAAACATAGTAGTTGAAAAGAAGTGTAAAACTTGCTAATTACAGTAATTACATTCAAAACTAAGCAATTCCAGAAATTTCCATGAAACATCGTTGCTTCCCGGTTATGAGACGTCCTCGGACAAGGCTCTCAAGGAACCGTGCACTAGGGAAAGCTTCCAGATGGTAGTCTCATGGCGGTGAAGAGGTATAGAGCTGTGAGTGAAGACAATCGGGCAGAGGTCATCAATGAGCTGCTGCTTCTAATTAAGGTTGAGCATAGCAATAGATTCTTCTTGAGCAATATCATTCCTGCACACAAATGATCAGCATAAGATCTACCACAGAGATATCAAAGCTTCCAACATCATGCTCGATGAGCACAACAGAGCAACTAGCTGACTTTGGACTTTCAAGGTCAGTAATTATTGACAATACACACTTGTCGACAAGAGAATGTGCAAGTACTTTCAAGTTCAGTAATTATTGATATATATAATTTTAAACCATTTACTTAATTTCTCTCTTTTAATATTAGAATAATATTAAGCAAAATACACAAAAAATATAAAAAATATATATATAATTAAGCAAAATATAAGAAAAATATGAGCAAACATAATATATATATATATAAAGAAAACAATAAAAATAGATAAGTTTGTCACACAAACCAATTGTTTCATAGTATTTAAATAAAAAAATAGTATTTAAATAAAAGCATGAGTTTTAAATATTATATCTTACGTACTATTAATTTAAGACTAAATATGTGATTTACTATTAAAAAACTAAAAGATATGGTGGCCTTAGATCCTAACCCGCCTATCCAACGGGCAGGGCCTGGTGAGATCCGGACCAGGGAAACAACCAACGATCAGTCAAGTGCATATGGTGATATGGAGTTGGAGAATATCCGTGAGCTACAGTTTAGTGATCTTGATCTTAATATATAGAATTTTCACGTCCTTTTCTTAAAGATACCACATACAAACTCATGGTCCTCTCACATTGGTATGTTTATTAGTCCATATATATTATCACCATGTTTTTTTTTTATGGACTAATGTTATGAAATTATTATTATGTACATAGAAACACATGCTTATATATACATATATATATATGTATATGCATGTGTGTGTTTATATATATATATATATGTGCATGTATAATATAAATAGATATCGATATGATGCATATCTAAAAGTGTGTAGATTGATTGATAGGATACTTATCTTTGAGGTAATAAGCTATCAGCAACTAGCTAGGAAAGTGACAATAGAGCCAACAAAACAAATATAATTAAAAACCAACTTGAAGTTTTACGTCTTTGTTATAAATCTCTAGGCAAGACATTTTTGAATATTGGATTATATGTATGTGAGTTTAAGAGAATAATTAAAAAAATATTTTTAGTGTTTTTTTCGGAAGTGATATGAGAGAATTATAACAAAGGACGAAGACGGAAGAAGCAGAAAACAAGTTCAAGCTTGGATGTTGTAGAGAAGAGGAAATTGAGAATAAATATGTAGAAGCTTGGAAGATGATTTGAACTGTACTAATTTTACATGGGACATTCACATGCCCAATACATATTCTTGATCAGACCACAAGGTTGTGGCTTGTGGGCTTGAAGTGTTCCATAGTATGATGTATTTGGGTCAGCTTGATCAGTTTTCCAACGCGCAGACACCAGACAGACTAAAGAGCTTCGGGAGCGCTCTGTGTATGATGTCAATGTCGATGGGGAGCTTTGTAAGTAGCTTGTTGGTGACAATGGTGGTAAAGATCTCTACAGAGGATCACATGCCTGGTTGGATTCCAAGGAACCTCAACAAAGGTCACTTGGATAGATTCTATTTCCTCCTGACTGCATTGACCAGCATTGACCTGGTGGTATACATTGCATGTGCACGGTGGTACAAATGTATAAAACTAGAAGGGAACGATGAGATGCAAAACATGAGTGATGATGAAAATGATACATACAGCAACGCTACAAGGAACCAATGAAGGATTCTAAAGTATAACAATGTGTGTTTGGTTTTCGGTTTTTCAAGGTGTCGGGTGATGTAACAGCAAACTGATTGATAAATAAAAGGCTGATTTCGGATTAGGTTTGCAAATTGAGAGGGCAAAGGCTTGGACATAGCTGGGATGATTTGGATGAAAGAAGTTGATGAATTCGTTATTGGGTAACTAAAGTTGTCTTAACATATATATATCATCGAAAGCTTCTGACATATTTGATTGTAATAATATTGTAGTTCTATGCAATACAAGTAATGATTTTTCATGTCTATACTTCTGTTTCGGATCGTGTTTGTTATATTCATCAAGATAATACTTCTCAAGAGCCCAAATCTTCGAGAGAAAAATATAAAAATCCTAGTATACTATAAACATAAGTAACACACAATATTTCGATCAGTTATTATCATTCTCTAATTCATAACTATCATGCCATTGAACTAGGATTTCAATAAATCAATCAGTAACGAAGTTTAATTTCAGTAAGATTCTACACAACTCTTAACATGAAACATAACCTTTCTTTTTCATGTTCGTAATTGGAGAAAGATCAGTTATATAATATTCGATCAATTGTAACCAAAGATATTAGTGCTTAATGATAATCTCAACATTGATATAAGATGGGATCTCAAAAGAGGTTAGAAAGATATGTTGGATATGAATCTTCTTTGATGATTAAATGTATTGAGCCATCAAATAAGGAAAAAGGTCTAATGTGTTGTATCAAAGATCCTTGTAGGATTTTACATACAAAATACTCATATATAGTTGGTCTTGAAGTACCACAATATGATATTTGAGCAAGTTGTTGTTCACTTCATGATTAAAAGATGTGTTTTCGTATGAGACAGAAGAAATCTAAAGCAATAAGAATAGCATGAATAAATTATATGCACAAATTTTGGATAATACAAATTTTTAGAAAACTATATATTAAAAGAAATTTGGCATGAATTCCAAGTAAACGAAGAAAATATCTTCTATGAGAAAAAGTATATTACAGACTAGAAGTCCAATAACTTGAGAAATTATGATAATCATACGAGTGTATTAAGTAAGGTTATACTTTTTTTGATTGTGTAAAGATGATATATATGATTGGAATGCATCTCTTGAAGAAGATGTTTCAAATGAGAGAATTATGATGGTACGTGTGGCTGTACTCTTTTCCTAATTATGGTTTTTATTATATTGGGTTTTTTCATGAAAAAGTTTTAACGAAATGGCAGAAAACACGTAAACGATAGACACTTAAGGAAAATGTAAATATGAAAGTCTATCACCATTCTAAAGATTAATGAGATCATTATAACCAAATAGAATGATCAAGATGGATCATCCGCGACACCCATCAAGTGCAGAAGAATAGTGATGTACATGTACTACAAATTTGTTCAAGTAAAGATTTGGCGAACTTATTTACCAAGAGGTTTCCAACTACTACTTTCAAGAAGCAAGTTCATCATATTGAACTGCTGCTTCTCAATCTTTCAAGTGATATACTCAAGCGGTGGAGTAATAGCACGATGCACTCTTTTTTTTTTGACTATTGTTTTCCTCATTAGGTTTTCCTAGTAAAGTTTTTTTATTAGACAACATCTGACACATTACGAATAATGGATATCAAATAGAGAATGTTATTAATTAAATATATGAATACCTATTATAAAACTCATATCATAAGAAGGTTTAAAATATTATTGGTTTCTTTATTTTCCCCATACAACTTATTCTTCAAGTCTTTGTAAATCTATTCGTACTCTTCATTATTCAAAAAAATAAAACACAACAATTTTCTCTCTCTTTATTCACAACACATAATATTTATAAAAAAAATAATGAAAATAAAATATATGGGATTTATGAGATAAAATATAATTAAGAAATAGAAAGAAAATGATGAAATGGTAAAAGCGCATGCTACTGTAGCACATAAGTGTGTCATATAAAAAAAAAATATCTATCCTATTAAAGACATCTCCAAAAAAAATTTCATTTTTGAAGTTGGTCAAACTTCAAATTTGAGATATAAAGGTGTTTGTTTCTAAAAGTAAAACCTCATATCAAATACAATCTTACAAAATTTTACATTTTGCATTATAGTTTTTACTATTAATCTTATTAGTAAAAATCATAAAAACTATAAAAAAAAGAAAAAAACATACATAGTATTGTTGCACTATTATAACTTGTGTAAAATTTCAGTTTTCATACAACTTTATTTATTTCTATTACTTTATGTTTTGCTAAGTTTGTTTAATATAATATTATTATTCTGTAAATTTTTTTAATATTATGTAATATTTCGTTTATGTTGATATTCTTATTTTAATGTTATAATTTTTTATTTAATTTTGTATATAAACGTAAACTTTATAAAAATGATTAAATTTATAGAGATTAAAATGATAAACAAATAAATTAAAATAATTATTTTTAAAATATATAATTTTAAAGACTAAAATACGCAAAAAGTAAAACTCAAATTTAAGATTTTGAACAATGAAATCTCATAAGTGAAATTGTTGAGGTTTTATTTTTCAAAACCTCAAAATTTAATGTTTTAAAGTTGTTTTGGGAGAACACAAAATCTCAAGTATAAAATTTTAAGGGTGTTTTTTTTAAGATGTCCTAAGTAAATTCATAAAAGTTTTCAAAGTTTAATGCATTCTTCTTTAAAACACTTGGTTATTGGATCAACAAAGCTACAAAAGAGAACCCATTAATTTTAAGACAGAAAAAAACGTGATAGAAGAAGCTGACGCTGCAGAACAGAAAATCAAAAAGACTTGGAAAAGTCTTTTGTATCATAAAAACACACCAGTCAACGTCTTCAACCCAATCAACACGCCACTACAAACTGTAACAGTGCCCCCACACCATTTTTCTCTTCACTTTCCTTCCTTGACCACTTTTTTCCATTTTTCTCATCGAATTTTCTCGGCACTCTGTTTCCATTAAGCTTGTCTATCTCCTTTGCCTGAAAAAAGAAAAAAGATCACTAGGGTCAAAAAGATGAAGGAGATACATGTTCCTTCAGAAACAGGCAAGTCTATGTTCTTTCTCTTCTTCATCATCTTCCTGTCTTGTTGTAATCTCTCTTTCTCGGAGCTGTCTTCGAACCAGACAAGCACAATGATCGAGCTCTCAAGATTCCTCAATGTCTCAGATTGGAATCTTCCTGGTTCTGAGAGGAATCCATGTTTATGGAAAGGTGTTCTTTGCAGCCGGCCAGACAATGGCTCTGTAATAAGCTTGTCTCTCTCTCGTTTTGATCTTACCAATTCTTCCTTTCTACCACTCGTCTGCCAAATCCAGACTCTTGAGTCTCTCGATGTCTCCAGCAATAGCTTGAGCTCAGTCCCAGATGGGTTCATGACGAATTGTGAAACGCTCGTAGGGTTGAAGCAACTGAATTTCAGCATGAACCAAGTTTCTTCTTTTCCTCGTTTCCGCAATTTCTCCAAATTGGAGGTTCTTGATTTCTCATACAACAGGTTGAGTGGGAACATTGGAGACTATGGTTTTGATGGTTTGGTTCAGTTGAAAAGTCTGAATCTCAACTTCAACAATCTATCTGGTTCAGTTCCTACCAATTTGGCCAAACGTGTGGAGACGCTCGAGGTTTCATACAATTCCTTGAGCGGTAGTATTCCTGAGGGCATTGAAGATTATCAAGAACTAAAGCTGATAGATCTCAGTAATAATCAGCTTAACGGGTCAATTCCAAGTTCGCTGGGAAAACTCTCAAAGTTAGAAAGTTTGCTTCTTTCCAACAACCATCTTAGCGGCTCAATCCCAGAATCACTCCCAAACATCCAAACCTTGCGTAGATTTGCAGCGAACCGTAACAGATTCACTGGAGAAATTCCTTCTAAGATCACAAGACATCTCGTGAGTTTAGATCTCAGTTACAACAGTCTAACGGGGTTGATTCCAAGTGAACTTTTATCACAGGCCAATCTCGTCTCTGTGGATTTGTCGTTTAATCAGTTAGATGGATGGATACCACAAAGCATTTCGCCTAGCCTGGTTAGGCTGAGACTAGGAAGCAATAAGCTAACAGGATCGCTGCCTTCTGCTTCGTTTAAATCATTGAGGAACCTAACTTATCTGGAGATGGACAACAACAGTTTGATCGGCACCATACCTAGTGAGCTCGCTTCGTGTTCGAATTTGACTCTCCTGAACTTGGCTACGAACCAGTTCACTGGGATCTTATCTCATGCAATTGGGAACCTTAGTACAACGCTCCAAGTGATAAAACTGCAGCAAAACAAGCTTACAGGAGAAATCCCAGACGACATCAGACAGTTAAGTAACCTCTTGATTCTTAACATCAGCCGGAATTCTCTGAGTGGCTCCATACCACCTTCGATTTCGCAGCTAGCGAACCTTTCCAACATGAACTTGCAAGGCAATGATCTAAGTGGTGCCATACCTGACAAGATTAGAGATCTGAATAGTCTGATAGAGCTCCAGCTCGGTGAAAACAAGCTAAGCGGGAGGATACCAGTAATGCCACCAAAGTTGCAAATCTCCTTGAATCTCAGCTACAACTTGTTTGGAGGACCTATCCCTACTACATTGTCTCAACTTGAGCGCTTGGAAGTTCTTGATCTGTCAAATAACAAATTTTCAGGCGAAATCCCTGATTTTCTGACCGGTTTAATATCCCTCACACAGCTCATACTCTCCAACAATCAGCTTACCGGGAAAGTTCCAAGTTTCATCCGGAATGTTTCAATCAGTGTCAGCGGAAACCCCGGGATAACTGAGGATGATGAAGTCTTGATTCAGAGAATGCCATCACAGAAGAGCAAACTAATTGTGGTTGTAAAATATGTCGCCATTGGAGTGTGTTCTCTTGTGGCAGTGATCATAACTGTCATCGTGCTGAAACTTTCTAGGCGTTTCAAGGGGGTTAACAACATGCAGGTCGACCATGATGAAGAAGGATCAACTGTTCTTCCCGAAGTCATTCGTGGCAAGCTTCTCACTTCAAACGCTTCACACAAATCAAACATCAATTTCACCAAAGCTGTGGAAGCTGTGGCACATCCCGAACATGCTCTGTTCCAGACAATATTTTGGAGTTACTACAGAGTAGTCATGCCCTCCGGTTCCAGTTACTTGATAAAAAAACTCAACACAAGAGACCGACTTTTCCAGCAAGCCAGCAGTGTGCAACTAGAGCTAGAGCTAGAGATGTTAGGGAAACTGCATCACGCAAATGTTATGGTTCCACTAGCTTATGTGCTCTATTCAGAAGGATGCCTTCTCTTCTATGACTATGCTCACACTCGTACCCTTTACGATGTTCTACACAACAATCCCAGCGATGTGGTTGATTGGACGAGCAGGTACAGTATAGCAGTTGGCATAGCTCAGGGAATCTGCTACTTACATGGATCCAAATCCAGCGGTCGTGATCCAATCCTTCTACCAGATCTTTCTAGTAAGAAAATTATGCTCAAGTCGCTCACTGAGCCACTAGTAGGGGACATTGAACTGTTCAAAGTAATTGATCATTCCAAAAGCAATAGTAGCCTCTCGGCAGTTGCAGGCACAATCGGCTATATTCCACCAGGTGAGCATATAATACAAAAGCTTTTTGGGCTTGTCTGAGAGCTCTGTCTTAATCTTTCCGTTTTGATCTCTTAATCAGAGTATGCTTACACAATGAGGGTGACAATGGCTGGGAACGTCTACAGCTTTGGGGTGATACTTTTGGAGCTGTTAACTGGAAGACCAGCGGTATGCGAAGGAAGAGAATTGGCTAAGTGGGTACAGAGCCATCCAAGCCAACCAGAGCAGCTCAACAGCATTCTTGATATCAGAGTGAGCAAAACATCAACTGTAGCAACCAAGCAGATGCTCCGTGCCCTCAGCGTTGCTCTTGCCTGCATAAACATCTCTCCTGGGGCAAGGCCAAAGATGAAGAATGTCCTACGGATGCTCACAAGACTCTAGGTAAAAGTATCAGATGATGCATGATGTGTAAACTTTTACTTGTTGCTGTATGTACAAAAAACATAGAGAGGTTTTCTCTGGCACTCCATTATGCTGAGAAACAAAAGGATCTTATGCATTCAATAGTTGTAATTTAAAAACTACGAGTCCATATCAGATTCATCAGATGAATATGAAACCTAGGAATACCAGATGGCTACAGATGATCGAAATCCAATAACATGAAGTGAATATGTATATATAAAAAAGTTAGCAGCAAAATCATGTGGGAAGGGCTTTCAATGAGCCAAATGTTGCAGAAGATACTTAAACAAAGAAAATATTATGTTCAACATTACTCTTATCAATTCTATCAAAGAACTGATTACCGAGAAATACAAGCTCCCATGGAATCAAAAGCAGAGAAAATCTGGGTAGCGAAAAAGCAGAAATTTGGCCTAGAATGTAAGGTCCTTTGGGTCCTCAATAATGCTAGCCAATGTTTGCAAGAACTGTGCAAGATCGGCACCATAGATGACCCGATGATCTGCCGTCACATTCACCTGTGAGTTTGCAAGTGACCAGTCATCATCAACAAGTTCCCAGGACAACTCGGGCCGGTTTCATGAAGAAGAGAGGAGAAGTAAAACAAGTTCTAACGATGGTTAAAAGAAAGTCTTACCTGCATCTGGTTTTTCATGCCAATGCGGCCGTCTTTAGTAGCAACCACTGTAGGTTGAGATGCTCCTACAGCCATAATCGCTCCCTTCATTGATGAGAGAGGAGAAAATCAATGATCTGTTAATTGTTATAACTTTGGCAAAATCATAAGGTTAAAAGAAATAAGCACTTACGGTTCCAGGGGGAAGAATGGCATCAAACCGATCAACGCCAAACATTCCAAGGTTAGAGAGAGTAAAAGTACCTGAAATTACCCGAAAGGAGAATAAGAAACTCAAACGATATTTACACAAGCACTTCCGTTGCAGAACCACAAATAATGTATTCTAGCATAAGGTTACCAGTGTTGTATTCCTGAGGCTGTAGCTGCTTGGCTCGGGCCTTATCTACCAATTCTTTCCATTTTCTAGACAAGGAATAAATGTCAACCTGTTTACAAAGAAAAAAAGAGCAATCCGTTGATACCAGTTTCAAAGGCGGAGTGAAACGCAAACTGCTGAAAAAGTGTGCAAAAGAAAATATAACCAAAAGAGAAAATAAACCTTATCAGCGTTCTGAAGCACCGGAGTGATCAAACCACCATCAATAGCAACAGCAACAGCAATGTTGATGCTACTGTTATACACAAAACTGTTTCCATCTCTGCAAGAAGAGTTTACAACTGGATGTTTTGCCAGTGCAAGTGCGGTTGCCTTTGCTAGGAGTGCCGTCATTGTCACCCCTTTCGACTTAATCTAAACCAACCAAACAAAAACAAAGAAAAGAAATCAATATACACTTACAAGTTGGAAGAACCAATGCACATCATAAGATACTATCATATATACTTCAACTATCTATCTCTGATTATAACCACGTTCAACATTATATGCAAATCGAAACAGAGACAACCAGGTCGGTGAAAAACGGTTCCATATGTTCCTTTACCGATCAAATTGTGTAGTTACTTAAGCATCTAGGTAACAAGATTGCATTAAACTATAACGCTTAAGCCCTAATCTTCTTCAACTTTACTATCATCCCAAAGTTCAAAAATTTTCCATTCTACTGTACCATATCCATAAACTAAATACTTTTCTATCTGTTTGCAATCATAATCAATGTAACCACCAATTTTCTATCATGCAACTCAAATCTCAAAAACTTACTCACCTTCTTGTAGAGAGCATCCAGAGCATTGGTGTTGATTGTGTATCCGACCCTAAAAGTCGGAACCGAAAGACTCTCCACCATATTCCTACTCACAGCTCCCTGCATTGTCGTGAATGGAACCACCGATCCCAACTCTACACCAGGAGCCGCCGCAGCCGCCGCAGGTACCTCCGTTTTCACAGCTGAAGCAGCTCCTCCTTCAGCTACAGCCGCTTCAACGTCTGTAGCCACAATCCTACCCATTGGTCCACTTCCAATCAAACCAGCCAATTCCACTTTCAGTTCCTTTGCTAGCTTCTTAGCGTAAGGAGAAGCCACGATCCTCTTCCCTCCTTCAGACGCCGGATGCACCGAAGACGCAGACACAATAGACGGCGGAGGAACCGAAACCTTCTTCTCAACAACCGCAGGTGCTTCGGAAACAGGCGGTGGAGGAGAAACCGGAGACTGAGAATCGCTTCCACCACCAGAAGCCTTAGCCCTAGCATCGGCGATTTCTTCCTCGGTCTCAGCTAACAAAGCAATGGCGGATCCGACGGGAGCAACACCGCCTTCTTCGACCATGATTGCGGCGAGATAACCGTCGTAGAAAGTCTCGACGTCCATATCGGCCTTGTCGGATTCAACCACGACGACACTCTCTCCTTTGTTGAGCTTATCGCCTTCGGATTTAACCCACGAGACGATTTTTCCTTCGGTCATGGTTGAGCTGAGAGCAGGCATGAAAATCTCTCGGATCTTCGCTCGGACGGGGACGATTCGGGGCTTGTTAGCCCGGAAATTCGGAACAGAGGATCGGGATTTGGAGTGGAGAGAAGTGGAAGAAGGAAGGAAGGATGTGTGGAGAAGACGAGACATTGTTTCGAGTTTTCAGAAATCACAATGCGCTGAGTGAAACAGAGAGAGAGAGAGAGAGAAATGTGATTTAAGGAGAGAGAGAGAGAAGTTCCTCGGAATTATCGAAAGAGTAGACGGAGGGAGTTTGCCAACTAATTTACCGGTGACGGACTCTGCCACTGTTACTATTGTATGGAAGGTGTCTTGCACGCGCTCTCTTTTGGGCTTTTAATAGGCTCAATAGAAGGTCTAAGATCCGTATAGGACCCGCAAAAAAATTGGTTTGGTACGAGATGGGGTAGATTTCGGGTCTCGATCGGTTTCGAATACCCAAAAGTTATTGGAAATGTCGAAAAAACTAAAATTTAGCTCTTAAAAACAAATTGATTCCATTTGATAAAAATTTCTATAACTGTGACATATATTTTTGATGATCCAATAACACATGAATTTTGGTCATGGATTGTTTGATATGACTTCAGAACATTGTATGTTATCCATTGAAATTTTGTTAACAACAGTGATTTATCGACTTTAAGTTTACATTAACATCGTAATTAGGTTAATAATCTCGCGTGAAATTATTATAGAAATCAAATAATTAATCCTTAATTTTTCTTGAAAGAAACTTAATCAAAACATAAACTCACTTCTTTTTTTTTTTTTTTTTTTTAAAAATTTCCTTTTCATTCATAGCCCAATTACATCATATCCCAGCGGGATTATAGCACATACATCCAACCAGTTCACAGAACTGCATACAAAAAATAAGTGAACATACTAACCTAAAGGAGAAAGGATATCATTCTGGAAAACCGAAAACCAAGAGGTGAGATAAGAAACAGTGGAGGGTAGATTACGCTGAGCTCTGGATAGAGGATCGAGCTTGCATCTGATGACCTGCTGGATATCCTTGAGAACGACCAGGGGAGGACGCGAGACCGTAGAGTGAAGCCTAGCGTTCCTCTCCTTACAAATAGCATAAATCGAAGCTTGGAAGGCAAACTTTAAGATGAGACTGACATTCTTGTTTCGCGTAGGTTGCTTCATCCAAGTGAAGGATGCTTCAAAATCCGCCGGTGGTGAGATATTTGCCTTTGACACGAAAAAGCCCCATATAACATTGCTAAAAGCACAGTCGAAGAAGAGATGTTGACGGCTCTCGTCGAAGGAGTTACACAACAAACAAACCGAAGGAACTTGAAGACCCCAGGAAATGAGTCTGTCACGAGTAACCATTCTGTTCCGAGCTGCAATCCAAGTAAGGAAGGCGTGCTTGGGGATATTTTTCTTAAACCAAACGGAGGAGAACCAGTCAACGGAATTGAGAGAGGGGTTAAGAGATTTCCAAGTGTCTGCAGAAGAGAAGATGTCAGAAGCTGGGAGGACTCCCACCTTCCATCTAAAACAGTCATCCACTTCAGAACTGGCGATACAGGCAGCATCCGGAAGGCACCCACGCAAAAGCACAATAACTGGGTTCCGACTACGGGAGTTAGCGAACCACCAACCTGACTCCGTGATAGCCTCCGCCACAACCGCATCCATATGCAGTCCTGAAATCCTTGGTCCCATTTCACCAGTTAGGTCCAGAAGAGGTCCCAAACCTGTCCAGTTATCTCTCCAGAAAGAAGCGGTGATGCCGGAGCCAACCTCGCACGAGATAAAGGGGCGAGCAATAGGTCGCAGCTTACATAAACTGCGCCAAACCCAGCTCCCCGAGCCATCAGTAACACATGGAGAACATTAAGTAACACATGGAGAACATTAAGCAATATGTACAAACTAGTACTATATTATATGTCTCATCATGTCATATTAGAACACCATCAATTTTAAACATAATTTAAAAGTTAAAGATTGCTTCAATCAGACTTTGGTTTCACATGTAATTAATATTATTTAAGATTTTTAGCTACAACTTATCATTTATTTTCTGAATTAATACCTTCGAATGCTACACCAACCACTTTATTTCATATGATTAAGAGGCCACCATTGTATAAGATGGCATGCATCTGCGTCTTAGCTCATCCAAGAATATTTGGAATGGGAAAAGAAAGGAAAAATTCCATATTCTTTTATGATAATTCTGGAAAATAGATTTGGACTTGTTTATATATGTGTGTCAAACTTAAATCCTCCAGACCAGAGTTAAATGATTTGAATCATGTCTTTAGATAATATGTCAAGCGAATCAACATAATGGTGATGAATATTGGCTCATTGAATTATCTCCAACAAGGAACCAAGGTATATGACAGTATATATGTTTCATCCCTAAAATGTTTACACAAAGAAACTGGATAATTACAACAATGGATATCAGAGGCGGGCAGAGCCGTGCGCATTAGCTTTAGAGCCGATAATATTAAAACATTTTAGGGGCCAATTTTCCTGAAATCAAAATAGCACAGTTGGTTTTGTGTGGGTGTATAAAGCAGTATCAGCGTGGGTTCGATTACCATATGACCAATAATTTTTATATATTTTAAAAGTTGATTTTTTAGTGTCCCACATCGAATAAAAGTCTTCATCTTAAATAAGAGTCTGCACTATAAATAAGAACTTTTATCTTGAGCTAGTAATAAGTTAAATCGTTGTGGACTTAAGCAAATTTATAGGTTTGAAGGGCCAAATTTGTTTTCCTTGCTTGTAATATGCAAAAATTCAGGCACAGCTCTGGAGGCGGGATGGAAGATTTTGAAAATTTTGAAAATATAAAAAATTGCAAAATAAGATGTTAGACATAAGAAATGGGTGTTTTGCTTTCAATAAAAAAAAGGGTCCTCCATTTTGGTTTCTGCTTAACACTGTATCTATTCTTCAGATTTTATTTTGGTTAGTGATCATTTCATTTCAGCCATGTAAAATCACATTGCTCCAATAACCAAAATGAAAACTGAAGAAATCCAAAATTCGGCATATCATGCTTTTGCTTTGGCTCCCCCATTTTGTGCTTTTTGTTTCAAAAGATGAAAATATAATCAATGTAGTATCTTCGTAAGGAATATACTGTTGCATGATGATAGTGATACAGACAATATAACAAAGCAATGAATTGAATAAAAATGGAGGACCCTTTTTTCATAAATCTAATCGAATCAAAGCCTCTTCTTCTTCTTCTTCCAAAAGTTTCAACTCTTAAACGCCGCCTACATCTACAAATCACCTCACATTGTTTCCGTATACCTTCTCTTGGTTATCGCCACAAGCAACAGACTCGGTCCAATGTACAAACAATCTGGATCTTCCTGCAGTCATCGGAGCAAAGAAAACGAAGCTTTTCTCCAAGTGACAACACTGTGTAATATACAGGAAAGACAAAAAGGAAGGTCGTTTTATTGTTGTTGTAGTGCTGCTTGTATAAGGTTTCGCTTCTCTTCAGATCTGTGACGGAACAACTTTGCAATCTTTCTTCTCTCGCAGTCCTGAAAATTAAGATGAGGAAACAAGATAAAATTAGAAATCTATTAACTACTCAGACTTATGATATGAACCTAATCCACCATTCCACAAATTCATCGGTCGAGTTGTCTCGGCTCTGAGACCCCTCTCGGTTCCATATGATATGGTTCTTATGCTAACCAACATTGATTCACCTATCTTAGACCTGACCCATGCAATTGAATCATAGTTTGATGAGCCTATCAATCACTAATTAGCTTACGAGATAAAATGTAAGACCATTACAGCTAGACAAGCCACTGTATTTGGGGTTTGGCTCTGATACTAGTCTATTATAGGACTTCGGTCAATATTATGCCAAGAGCACTTTTGACTTCACAACCCGAAACCTTACACATGGAGGCAACCCAATGTCTTAGATAAGCATCAAGCAGCTTATTGTTAGGGTCGATGCAGAATTATAATCATGGAGACTTGTTAAACAGAGATCTTTACCTTGAACATGTGAAGATTAAATGGTTTTTCAGGATTCATCCTTCTTAGTTTCTGGTAAGTATAGGCAAAGCTCAGCTGGTCCCGGGGAGTGAAGCGTTCCACTTCGTTGAACCAAAGACATGAGAATAGGTTCGACATGGGAGTATGTGCCCGTACTATGAAAGACCCCTCTGGAACATCTGCGAACAAGATAAGCAAGAGGATTATAAGTAAGCAAAAACACACAAATATAACCAACGCCAAGTATTGATTGACCCTTTCATGGTGGCAATAAGGATTTGACCCCAAAGAGCATATTATAACCTAAATGCTGGAATAACAGCTGGCTGCAAAAACTATTAACATACCGTGACCAAGGATGTAGTTGTGAATGCGAAAATCTAAAACCTAAACTGATCATAAGCTTAAGAAGTTAAAACCCCAAGTCAGCTTATGAGCAACCAAGTAGCAGTTATGGCCACTAACTAATGCAAACTCTCCCGAAGCACCGTTCTAATCCTGGATTGTATTAGTTATCAAACAGAATCTTACTGCTAGGAAGAAGCTTGAACGGATCCGAAGCGTTGAATCTGGTCAGCCCATCAGCCTTGTAAAACTCAAACTGTTGATCAATAACAGTATGGTTGTACTTATTCAGCTTCTTGTTTTGTGCAACCTCTTCCCATAAACAATGGCGGTCATAGTGATTGGATATAGCATACTCGTGACCTTTACGCCATAGGAAGTACTCTAGAATGAGTAGGGGATCCAACTGAAGTCGTAACTTGCTGTCCAACCAGATTGAGTACCTGGAAGAATTAAGTTTCTCTATCAACATACAGATTTGGTCTGACATGAAAAGCTTTTCAGTGGGTATCACATATCGCATTCAGATGCATATGTCTAGAGAAACCAGTTTCAAGATCTAATCTCTAGTGTGTATTCTGTCGTTGACATTTGTCTTTGTGGCTCAGAATGAACATATGCTTTATAAGTTATAACTGATGTTCTTCCGGTATTTTCTTTCAATCATATTCAACCATGAGCCACTGATCTGTTTTCTAACTGCAAGTGGTGGAAAAATTTGTGCTAGTCTAAACCCATCAAAATGAAAACTACCGCTATGCATGAGACTCACCTAGCTGATGGGAAAAGTCGGTGTGGCAACAGTTTTGGTATTTTCCCTACCCTCCGCATATCTGCGTAAGGAAGATTCTTCACGACAACCAACTTCCACAAACCAATGAATCCTGCTCTGTCTGGGGCATGTCCTTCTGCAGAAAGTGTTTGCATGGTAATCTCGTCCACGAACACAATGAAGCAAACATTTTTTCTTGACAACCGACTTATCTATATGAAAAGAACAAAAATATAAGTTAGCACAAGCAACAAATATCATAACCAATAAGCAAAAGAAATTACAAATACAAAAGAGGACATGTGTCTTTTGAGATTATTGATGAAGCATGAGGTTGCTTCTTAACTCTAACTCCACTAAAGTGAATCTAGATATTTGTGTGAGAAGAGCTACTACCAAGTCCTGGTAAACCATATGAGCAGATATCTTTAATTCTTAACATATGGCTGCCCATGTCTGATGAAAACACCGACAAAACCAACTTTCACATGCCAGCTATCAAGCATTCATAACTCATTATTCGTGTATCTAGTTCAAAAACTGCTCAATTTCATCTTATTTCCAGCCACTAGTCTACAACAGTTGGTTAAACTGCACCCATAGGTCAACACGTGCCACTTGAACTCTGAGATAACTCGCTCACAAGTCTCTGCTAGTAACTATGTATGTGCCACTAAACCTCAGGTTCTATGTATGTGAAGGTAGGCTACTCTAAAGATACACAACTCGCTGGTCACAGTTTCCAGATCTTAGACGTGGAAACGAGAAGGCCAAACAACATAACTACACATCAATGATGGACAAAATCATACCATTTTATTGGCAGGAGGCCTTAAGCGATCAGAATTGCCAAAGATGCATGAGATCACAGCGATGTGGCATCGACTGATATAATTAGTATCATCTTCTGTCAGGTCAAACCCAGTACTTGGAGAACCTTTGAGGGCTTTGACAAAGCCACAATGAATTTTCTTGTCTTGAACCAAGAAGGAATCTTCCCGCTCCTGTAAACTCTGATGACCTGCAAATCTAGGCTCCCACTGTTCTTCCCCATCAGGTTTATCTTCTGTCTCGATGTACTGTAAAGAGAATCTAGCAGATTTTCGAGTATTTAAGGGCTCCACTATTTGGTGACTTGAATTCATTAGCTTCATCTCACAAGATGCACCTGAAAGTTTTGAACAATAAAAGAATGATGAGAAGCAAACACGCAGACTGAGGTTAACAACCCAACTAATCACAAGTTATCACCTGAAGATCTGCGACCCCGGCCTCTTCTCTTAGTATCAGATCGTGATGTTTTCCCGGACTTACCACCCTTACTAACAACAGATATATCCCCAAGTGACCTTTTTGAAGCAGCTACATCATCCTTCTCCGAATTCTGTTGCTTGGTCATGGAAGGGAGAACCTCGGTATCCTTCTCTTTGTGCGGCTCCTCGTTTTCATCCTCATCATGCCCAGAATCAACGTATTCATCCCCTTGACTATCATGAGAATCAATGGCATCATCTTCATCAGGGTCCATATCAACCGCCTCATGATCCCCACCGCTTTTCTTTAACGATTCACCACCTTTCACAAGCGAAGCTTGATACTCTGCTTCATACTTCTTTAACTCATTTCTTCCGTCTTCATTGTACAAACCAATCCCCTTCAAATCTAAACCCTTGACAGGATCCTTTTTCACTTCAGCCACTGACCTATCCACATCAACATATTTATGCTCTACTTCATCTTCATTATAATCATCATCCCGTCTTCTATCATCCTTATCCCAATATATCGAGTCTCGTCCATGAACCACTGAACCATGACCAAACTCAAGCACCTTTGCAGGGTCGATTCTCGTCACATTCGTCAGAAAATCACCCTCATAAGAATCAAATCCTGCCGGAAAGTGTAACACATCAGAACCAATCTGAGATATAGCAAAAATCCAATTTCCAGCAAACAAAAGAAGATCCAGATAAGTAAATAATGAAATCTAAACAAACGAAAATCCAACGAAACCTTTATCATCGTAGCCATTATTAGCAAAACCAGAGATGTAATAGTACGCGAGGACAGTGACAACGAGCACAAGGCAGAGAACAAACACAACAGAGCCGATTCCAAGGCGACGGATCCTGTCAGGTCGTACGGATCGCCTCCACCGGTTAGCCTTCCCTTGCTGAGGCGCTCCTCCTCCGACGCCGTTTCGGATCCCGATCGCTATGTGATCAGAAGAAGAAGACGCTGCGCCGTTGTTGGCGTAGTGAGGGTAACCAACGCCGCGACCGCTGAATCTCTCCGTTCCCGATTGTCTATATTGAGCCATTCTAGCATTGTCGACGAGACGAGTCGCCCCCTCTCTACGCGAGATTACGTATGTATATACGCAAATGGCAGAGTGTGTTTGTTGTTTGAGAAGGAGATTTGAAGAAGTATGAATGAAGCAAACTTGGCTTGAGCTACTTCACGGATGGAATCGCCATTATAAGCAATCTGATTAAGATTAGGTGAGAGGAGAGAAAGGAGAAACGGAGGCGGATTACAGATGATTGCGCGTGATCGGCGACGCGCTTCCGGCGAGATACTTATATACGGTGCGTTGCTTTAGATCTGTATACGGGGACTCAAGCCGCTAGATCTGGCCCGACCCGGTTTGGTTATAGATATCCGCTATTTTGGGCTTTTGGCTTTATGGATTTTGGGTACATGGAGAAATTTGGAATATTTGTTGATGTATTTTTTTTTTGTCGACTAACACTTTTATTGATTTTGAAAATCACAATTTTTTGTAAAGCTGAAGTTTTAGATTAAGATTCTGCCATTGATGATGCGGTTTATGTTCAAATTTTCATTTTCAAATTCAATTTTTCAATTACCAAGTGACCAAGATGCTTGCATTGCCTATAGCAAAGTTGTGCATTTTGCCTCCTCTCATCTGTGCTAATCTTGAAAGTTACTCATATCACATTCTAAGAAGATTCTATTGTTGTTTTGGAGAACTCACTGATTTTGGAATTGATATATGTTATGATGAGAGACATATAAACTTTATACAATAATATTCGATAAATTAATATAAGTAAATGTTTTTGGTTCTGAAATGTGTATTTCAACCGGTTAATCTCTATCTAAATTATAAGTCCCAACACTATTAATTTTAACTAACTTTAAAGAGTCAGAGATTTCTCAATGAAATCTGCTTGTAGGTCAGATTTGTATTTGACCAAATCTTAATTAAATTAATAATAGACTTCTAAAGAAATATGCTCTTAATTTTGGGAAAATGATGTATTTCCCCTTCGGAAGTATCATATAGTAACATATTCATCTAAACTTTCGATCTCAACTTATATGTTCGTGATTGAAAAGTTAATAACGTATTTCTCCCCAATTAAAAAGTTCCAAACATATTTACTCCTAATCATTGGTTTAAATGGTTAACTAGATTCTAATATGTGCATCTGCAGGGAAATTATTTCTTTATTTTATAACATTTTTTATAATATAATTTCAATTATATTCTGGTGTTTAAATGTATAGATTTTTTGTATATTTAATTTTTGTAATAATAAGTTAAAGATTTTCTTTTATTTGTGTTTTAAGAATAAGTATTTGTAATATCTTTAATTTTTATTATGTATTTTTATTTTTTTGTTATATGTTTATATGTTTATTTATGTGTTTTGTGTTGATTTTTTTTAGTTTAAAAAATAAAATTTAAAACAAAATTATGTTAGTAAACTAATTGGATTATCTTTAATATTATAACACACAAAAATTAGTAGATATTTGCACAATTTCTCTATGTATACTATACACTATCTAATAATAGTATAAAATAAATGGGTTTTAATGTTTCGATACTTCTAATAAAAGTTAATTCTCTCAATTCCAATTTTTTTTTAAAAAAAAAGACATTACAAAAACACAAAAAAAAACAGAAAAAATATTCGAAAAAACGAGAGAACATAAAAAGACCAAATTTCTGGATTTTAGGGATATTCGTGATCCGCTACGCTCCATCTAGATCATCATTTTCTGATCCGTATCCGCTCCGTAATTATCCGGATATCCACCAAAAACTAAATATTTGCTGGATATCCGATCAGTTCAATTAAAATATTTAAATAATAATATATTTAAAATAAAAATAAAAAATTTCAAAATTTAGCCAAAAATTAGAATATTTATTTAAAAAAATTTCTTAATTTATTAAGCTTTAATATTTATAATAATCAAATTTATAAACAAAACTTCACAAAAATTACATCTATATATAATAATTATACAGTTTATATGAATTATTATCTATCTATATATAGATATATACTTATACCGGAGCGGATCGGATATCCGTCTTATTTTTTTTAAAGAATTTGTGATTCGCTCCGTTTTTAACGAATATTGAATTTTGGTATTTGCTTTGCTCCGTAAAATTACGGATATCCGAATTTTTCGGATCAAATCAAGACGAATAACGGATCGAAGCAAATATAACGGATATTTTGTCCAGCCCTAGTGTCAGCTAGGAACGATTGGGTATAATCTCTTCTTCAGTATGGACTTGATTGGTTTAAACGCAGCGATTGCGGTTGCGAATGCGGGAGTTTGCGGAAATGCGTGTTTGCAGTTTTGAGCGTTATTAAGCAGTTTACATGACTGGTTAAACTTTTTAAGGCGGATCCGTTTGCGGGACATTTTTAACTGGCAAACTAGCGGATGTTTTAGCAGTTAAACATAAAATTACCAAAATAAACATCATATATAATTATAAAAAAAAACAGAAAACTATATTATTATGGTTAATATCAAAATCACTAGTTCAAAATAATTAATAAATAAATTATAAATAAATACTAAATAATTATTTTAAAAAGTAATAAATTTTATAATAATATGTTTTATTTCAAATATTGGAACGTCACCCAAAATTGTGTTTAGTAATGTAATAGACTGGAAAAAATTTGCTCCAATACATGGATCTTCTGAATTTGTCTTATGCATGATGTAAAATTTTTTCAATTGATCTAATCAATTTTTTTGCACGACCCCAACTCAAATCAACTCCAAATTGCTCATTAGTATTCTTCAGAATACATTCTTTCTGGAGTGCACTCAAAAATCTAGGTTCGTTATCTTTAGTTTATTTTTTCACAATGATCCGTTGAAGTAACGCACATGTCATCTCGTTTGATCATATAGAAGGAAAAAAATATAACAAACTAATTTTGTAATTAATAAGATACATATTTATAAATTTTTACTTTAAAAGTGGAAACAGAATAATTAATATGAATGAATTAAACCAAAGTATTATGACATTTATGCTTGTATCTTAATTTTCTTCAACTGGTATGAAAACCATGATTAGAGACTAGAATTTTATAGAAAAAATGATAGGTTAGGGTTTATAATAGGAGAAGATTAGTAAGGTTAGGGTTTTATATTCTTTTAACGTGATCTTCTATTTTTTTTCTAGCATGATTTTTTTTTATCCAACCGCTACCGTCCGCAACCGCAAACGCTGGTGGAAAGCAGCTTTTGGATTCAGCGGTATAAAACGATACGAAGCGGTTCACAGTGATTTCTATGATTGTGATAAAACGCCACTAACCGCTACCAACCGCAAACACAGCGTTTGCGGGTGATAGCGGGTGAACCAATCAACACCTATATGTAAGTAACTTGCATCACTTCCATTATTTTATATATTTTATATATAAATATATCTATATATATATATATCTAACAGAATTTATACAACCAAATTATTTTTACTTGTTTACGTGAAAAGCCATTGTCTTAAAATTTAAAGTACAAAACAATTACTTGCAAATAAGTAAAACAATCTAAAACATAAAATTGCAAATGTAGCAATGATTTACTTTTCTACAGTACACCTAGAATGTAATCTTATTAAATGTAACAAAGATGTTTAACATATCAATTTATTAAGCATTAAAAAAAAGAATAAAACATTGAAAGCTTCAAAATACATCGAAAGTTTTTTTATTCTGCCATCTTTCCTTTATCCTCATCTGCTATTCTCTGAATCCATCTTTAAGAAGAAAAACTAACCTCCCCCTGCAATGAAGACCAGAATAAGTATGTTTTGGTTACAACAATTGACTGCAATAGGTAAAAGATAAATTTGAAATGAGAAGAGTTTAACCATGTATCTCGATGATTTCTTCACCATTTGCTTCAGAGCTAGAGGTTTGATTGTGTTGGTGTGTCGAGGGTTGTCAAGTTTTACCCTAAATGAAATCAATAGCCGCAAGTGCACAGCTGATCGATTGTAGTACTTTGGGATCGAATCCACAGGGAAGGAGGATCTTTTCTTGCAAAAGCATTTGAATACGCTACTGTCGTGATCATAGACAACTATCTCTCTCAACCCTGACCAGTAGGTTTCCACTCTGGCCCTGGAAAAGAAGAGATGCATTATGTTTAAGACTCGTCAGCATTCACAAATCGCCCATAGGTAGGTTTCCACTCCTATGTTTGTTTTGCTCTCCCAAACTAGATCTGACACCGGATGAACACTTTCGTGTCACCAAGATCTGGATCAGATTGTAGTTCATGACGCTACTCTCATGCAGTAAAAACGAATTCAGAAGAAAAAGTTCTAAGATTCGGCTCAAAAGCTCATGGAATCCTCATCGAACATATAAATCCCCATCGAAAATCCCTTAATCCCAACAATAAAACTACTCAGACATGGTGAACGAAATCAAAAACATAGTATTAAAAAGTAGAATAGAAACCGAAATTGAAAAAGAAAGAACAAGGGTTCAAGAGACAAATCTCTCTCTCCCTAAAACCTAAAAACAAAGCTTCAAGTAAAATTTCTGTAAAGTCGTCTCTATTCTTCTCTCTAAAAAAACGACCTAAATGACATGTATTTATAGTCTCCAATATTCTCTGGTGTCTAGGGTTCCGGAATTGAGGCTGGGAAAATGATACGGGCTTCAGAAATGGGCCTTCGGGCTCGGAGTTGGCTGGCCGCGGTCGGGATGGCTGTGACCGCGGGGAATGGATGGCTGGCCGCGGTCGCGGTGCTTCTGGCCGCGGGAAATTGCTTGCTGGTCGCGGGTGAAAATGCTTGCCGGCTGGTTTACGGGACATCTTGCTCTTCGCGTATCTTTTGATTGAACCGTTGGATTGCCAAGCTGTAAAGTGTGCTGGAAAGCTGATACTTCCATCTTTAAGATCTCCAAATTTGAGCTGGATCAGACGGTGAGAAGACCTTCAATCAGGGGTGAACTTCTGACGATTTGACTCTGAGCTGAAATCTGGTTTTCTATCAATTTTGTTAAGCTTTTCCCTAAGTTACCTGAAAAGAGTCTTGGAACTACAAATACTAGAAAAACGTAATAAAAGTACTTGAAAGCAATTAAAAACATAGAAAAAGTATTTGAAAACGATCCATAAAAGTGGTCAAAATACGGTGTTATCAAGGTTTGTAAAAACTTGTTTGAAAACCCATTCTTTGTTTTCTTCTCTGGTTTACCATCTTTGTCCACAATCAAAATTTTTAATCCTTTTTTAGACATAACCCTGGATATAGCCATATAGAGTTGTCCGT